AGTTATCTCACAAGTAGATCTGAGTTATCTCACAGGTAGATTTAAGTTATCTCACAAGTAGATTCTAAGTAAACCCTAAGTAGATTTAAGTAAACCTAACAAGATGTCCGTCATCACTTTCCCACATGGTTCCCATCACCATCCTTAACAAACTCTTGTAAATAAGGATTTGTCCGTCTCCTTTTGTAATCATCACTTCCAAACAACTTTTGAGATACATTTAAGTTATCTCACAAGTAGATTTTAAGTAAACCCTAAGTAGATTTAAGTAAACCTAACAAGATGTCCGTCATCACTTTCCCACATGGTTCCCATCACCATCCTTAACAAACTCCTGTAAATAAGGATTTGTCCGTCTCCTTTTGTAATCATCACTTCCAAACAACTTTTGAGGACGAGTCTTATTCATATACATCCAAATAAGACCTAAGCAAACTACCGCTAATATCAGATTTCTCTCCATATACTAATACCGAGGTTTCAGGGTGGGATCGGATTGCTTAAAAAATGCCCGGCAGGGTTTACCGAGCATCTTCTAAGTTTATCCAATCACTTCCCACTACACCTAGTACTTGTCTGACTTAAACCTCGGTCTGTACATCTTCGCGCAACTTGCGGTAGTTCTTACTACAGCTTTTCTTACGGTTTTCTTAAGTGAGAAGTACTCATTAATTCTAATACAAGTTTTCACAAGATCGTCTGATATCATTGTCATATACCCTATTTCCATAAGCTTACGAAACCATACTACCTGCTTCTCACTTGCAATTCCTGTGCCCTTAGGAGACTTGAATTCAATGGCAAATCCTTTGTACTTCCCCATAGGATTCACTATGATAAGATCTGGCTGACCACCCTTGTATCCCTTCTTCCAGGCGTCACATCTCTTCGACACGGTATCCTGGTACTCACCTAGGCCAGGTAATATTACAGCCTCTGGGTAGTTATCTCTAATGTAACTCACAACTGTGTGATGAAGGTCCGTTTCATTTATAAGGATTATTTGGTTATACCTAAGTGACCTTCTATCTGGTAATTCATACGAGCCCGTCTTGCGGATGGATGGAAGGACTTCCCTAAATACCCAATCCTGGAAGTCCTCTGCTATTGGAAGTCTTGAGCTACATATTAGCTGGTACAAACCAGGTTCGTAAAGTAAGATTGTCTGTGGGTGACATTTCTGTAAGAGGGGCGATTCGCCCCTCTTGCGTAACTCGTATACACTCACCTTATTTTGTTTCCTAACTAATTTCTGAACTGCCTTTTTTGAGTCAGCGTACCCTAGAGATTCCGCCACATCTTTTGCATAAAACAGTACATCCTCACCACTCTCTACAGCTCTCACACTAACATTCAACTTCTGGTTCCTGAATAGTTTTTCCATCTTTCTCTATATTATATATGTAAAAATTTTTATGGCTATTTTATGTACCATTTAAATCTAATTTATGAAGCAGCATTCCCTCTACCCACCCAGCTGCTTACTATAACTATGTACATCCTACAGCAAATAAAATATTACATTTCATGTAGCTTCTTGTATATCTTTACAACTGTTTCAGTTGCGTCAGCTTTAAATGTCTGGAAATCATACTGAAGTGGTTCTATGACCTTATCCTTGAGCGCGTATAAGTCCATCTCTAATGAGTCAAGGGTTTTTTGAATCACATCTAGACTTTCCCTATTCCTATCAGTTTTTTCAATCAACTCAGTAATTATATCTTCAAACTCTGTTCCTTCCCAAGCGTTTTCCCATTCGTATCCTGACATTCTTCTTCTTCTGTATTTAATAAGATATGTTTTGCTTCCTCTGATATCTCCTCAGGCTTCTCCTTCTTTTTCCACTTATGGGCAACTACATGTTTAGCTGTTGTACAACCACCTGATATTAAACCTATGAATGGAATGTTGGGGGATATCGTCCTTGTTAGATATGATACGTCATCCTTTAAAAGCTTATCACTAAGTAGTTCCTCTGATAGCTTATCTGAAGATGCCACTGCACCGAAACTCCCTAGTATAGAAGCAAACTTTGAGATAATAAGAGTTGATAAGAAGTCACTTGCACATGACATCCTTTGACTTTCATACTCATGATATAGTCTATCCACAACATCCTTGTTGGACTTTCTTATAAAACTTGCGGACTTCTCTATTACACCATCCCTGGATAGCTCTATAAGCTTGTCTCTTTTACTTTCAGTTTGCGACTTATCTGCGGTTTTTCTTGCGGTAGACTTAGCTTTCTTTTGCGATGCCTTTGCGGCCTCTTCTACTTCCCTCACAGCTGCAGATATTTCCTCGCCGGATTCAGATCCCATCTTTTATATTCTACGTGATGTTTTGTTTGATAGTGTATGTGTAAGGGTGTATAAGTAGTATATCCAGTGCGGTGAACTTCTCATCTTTCAGTATTTTTGTAATCTCTGTAATTGTCTCCTGAGGAACACCACTTAGGTAATCATCTGTTATGACCTTCATATCCCTGCCACTAGGGTTGTAGAATGTAACTAACCTGGAAATGTTTTCTCGAAATGGCTTTGCTACTGAGGACAATTGTTGGGTAATTACAATGACGGATAAGTTGTAATGTCTTGCGGAGAAAGCTAAGCGCACCAGTTCCGAGACTCTTTTCTTTACATCTTGACTTGCTGCACAATCATCCACTATAATGAGAGTTTGAGTTCCACGAAATATGGTGGAAACTGCCTTAATAACTAAATTGATCATTTCTTGCGAACATGGAATTTGTATGACTCCGTGATCACTAATATGAGTCCAATTAATGTAAGTCATATTCCATTCTATTGTTGGACATATAATAACAATGTAATCAAAAACTTTATTGTATTCCGTTTCTAACATATTTAGTAAGAACTGAGTTTTACCACTTCCTGTCATTCCTACTATAAGCATGTTGAATGGTGGTTCGAGTTGCATCTCTATGCTTTACCGTTAGTATTGGATACTTGATAAATCTCTATTAGCAAAGTTAAGGAGGGCATCTGATACAATAAAAATATTACATTGAACGTCAGCAGTTGTGGCTCTCTTTTTGATTTCCATGAGTACGCCTGACTGTGTGTTAACAATTCTCCTTCCTCCACCAGTGGTATCATCCTGTGTTGACCTAAGATCAATTACTAGAGCGAAACCATTGCTGAAGAACTTGCTGACGGACATAAATTCATCTGCCATGGATTTTTCACACATAGGGCAGAAAAATCGTTTTGCCTCCTCGAAGAACCTATTTTTAGGAAGTCCTTGGGAGAAGACTGCATTAGGTACACCTTCAATGGTTAGGTTCACTTTATCAATGTTTGGGTAAATATACTCTTCAGAATTAGTTCTCACTCTATTGGTAAATAGAAGGACAATTGCCGACATGCTCTTTCTGGGGATATTTATGTTTTCATTCACAATGGTAAGATCCTTGTCCCAATTACTTGTGCGCATAAGTGTGACGTGTTTGTAGGACAGTGAGCGACCCGTAGAATACATCCTTGACACTTCACTTGCAAGGGCGTCATTCTCAATGGTCTCGTATTCTAGCTCAAGATTGTCCAGTTTATAATTACCCTTAGCTTCACCTCCTTGGGCGGTCATAATCTCATCTGATTGTGGAAGTGTGAGGATGTACATAGGATTGTTGTTCATGTAAAATGGAGTGTACAGACCATGGTCTGCAATTATTTTATCAATTGGTTTTCTTAGCTTGGAACCGTACACACTGTGGAGAAGTGCATCTGCTATTTTATTGGCATCACCAACCTTAGTGCCTGAGTCATCACCTGATATTAACTTCCTGAGATTCTCACTTGCAAGACCCTGTTCAGTCATCTTCTTTCTATCACCTAGTGTTAGCCATAGATCTTTGTATATTTCGTACAAACTCTCTCCCGAACAGTCATAAGCTGTTTCACCTGCTACTTTAATCTGAAGACGTTTAGCTATTAGCTTAGATAGGTTATTATTAAAGTGGCTTTTTGTATTGGAATTTTTGAAGTCAAATAATAGTGCAAGTGATCCTGGAACTAGACAAGAGTCAGGCTTTAGTTTAGGTATGTTGATATACAGCTCTTCACCTGGGCTAATAGTTGTTGGATTGAAAGTTACAACGTTTAGGGTCCTAGGTCCTTTTATAGATGTCATGTGGCTCCTCCTGAAGCCAGGCTTTAGTTCTCTTTCCGTGGTATTCATACTTGTATACAATATGTAATGTTTAGCTATATGTGTATAATAAAACTGCTGCTGCACATATAATGATTATCCATATATTATCCGCTGCTAACTCTACTCCATCGGCTATCTTCTGGAATACAGGTGGTAGTTTTATTTGATTGTTTACCAACTCACTGATCCGCTTATCGAGTTTTCCTGTTGTGTCACCTACTTTCCACATTATGTTTCTAGTTGATGCTACCAGTCCTATGATTATAGCTGATGAGGAAATTAGAACAGCTGATAAGATGCCTGCATTCTCCCTTGCCCATAACCTGAGCCTCTGCAGTCTCCTACGATCATCCCGTTTAATGAGGTCCCTCTTTTTCACCTTATCTCTTAAGTTGAGAAGTTTATTTAAGTTTGACTCTCTTTGGTAATCATTTGATAGCATTCTAACGTACCTCAGTTCTTCCGACTTTTCTCTGAAACCGTTTTCATCCAAATCGGATAGTATTAGTTCATTTAACAGCCTGTCTCCCCTATCCATTAGATCATTGTATGACAGATTAGATAGGTCAGGGAATTTCTCAGCTAATTGCTCTCTCGTAAGGTCTTCACTTAACATTTTTCTTCTCCTTAGTTCCTGTACGTAATTAATTTCCTCGTTAATATCCTGGGTCTCCTCAGTAGTTTCGCTTTCCCTAAGATCCTTGTCAAGGTATAGTAATTCATTATCTAAAGTTTCTGTATCCATTTCTTCATAGTCCGGATACCTTTCCTTCAACTCCTCCATTCTCTGGTCATCGTATTCCTCTTGATGTTCCTCCATAGCTAATTTACTTTGTGTAATAGTTATATACCATTAAGGCTGCAGCTATAGCTAATACCCATAAGTGTGACGCCAACCATGCAATTCCTTTGGCTCCCCAGGATAGCGCTGTTGCAACTGCGTTCAGGATTGGAACTAGAATTGGTCCTGCTTTCTTTGCTAAATTTGCTAGTGCTTTTGCTACTTTACTAGTGGTCTTTGCTGTCTTAACAATGGCTCCCCTAGCATGGATTAATAGGGCTGTAATTAAACTAGCTGTTGACACTGCTATCCCTACAAGTCCCACCTTTTCCTTTCCTACCCAGTCTATAAATCTACGTAATCTAGAAATATCTTCCAACTGTGCCTCTCTTGCTTCCTCTACTACTCTCTGCTCTAGTGTCCTATCCCTAGCTTCCTTTAGACTATCAATTCTTTCTATAAGAGCATTGTACTCAGTTGTACCCTTCGCTGAGCCGGCTTGTTTCACGGTTTCATTAATAGCTTCGTTAAAGTAGTCAGCTTGTATTTGCAACGCTCCACCGGGACCTGTTCTGCCTTCTATACTTGATCCATCAGGTGGGTTAAGAACACCCCTCAGTTCATTGTTTTCTTGCATTGTTAACCCAGGAAGATCTCCTAATTTTACACTTATATCTATTAACTCAATATTCTCACGGTCAGCGTATTCCTCATCACTGGTATCAAATTGCGGCTCTTCTCTTTCAATTATGTCGTCAGGATCTGTAGGTACCTCTTTTATTTTCTTTAGAAGGTCCTTGTATTCTCTCAGTGCAGGTGAGCTCTTTGAGTACACAGGTTTGTTGGAAAAACCACGTTTCATTATTTGTGTCCCACTTTTGTCAATACCTTGTTCACTTCTAAATACCAACACCTCTGTGCCATCCTTGAGTGTTCTTACAGATGATCGTTTTATGAGTTCTCTGACGTATCTATTCCTAGGATCCAGTATCAGTCCCTCCTTGCCCTTGATAACTCTTGTGACAGCTTGAACACGCTCCACCTGGTTTTCAAAATCTCTCTTTTTATTTTCTGTTGAAATCTTATTTAGTTTCTCTAGGCGGGCTTCTATTTCGTCCCAGTCAGCGTCAAATGATTCGTTGAATGCATCTAGCACGTCTGGAAGTACATTGTTTGGATCTTCTACAAAATCTACTCCCGGGGTGGTTGTGCTTCCTGATGGACCTGAAATGTTCACTGTACCATCATTTCCTTCGGTGAAAGTTGTTTCTTCTATTTCACGTCTCTCCATAAGATTCTTCACATAGTCCAGTTCACTTTTAAGATCAGTTAATACTATAGGATCATCACCATACATAGCCTCAGCCTTCACCCCTATATCTAACCTATTAAAGGCTGTCGTTAGGTCATCATAATCAAGGTCGTCATATTGAGGATAACTTTTTTCTACCTCCTCCAACTCAGTATCATCGCGGTCATCGTAGTCCTCCATAATACCTTAACTTATGTTAGGGACTTGATGTCTCCAGCTGGTATCCAACTGTTAAATTTGTCATCATAACCTAACCACTTAACTAGGGCCATCTTTTTACCCTTCACTGTTCTTCTTCTTAGTACTTTCTCTATTTTGAAATCAGGTTCTCTTCCTTCAGCGCTATACAGTTCTTGTTCATAGAATCTGCCAATTATTGGTTCATCAGCACTGTCTTTTATTGTGTACGTGTTTGGATGGCCGTGATACACTTCTGTCACAGTGAACAACTCCTCTGTGAAGTTTGCTTCGTACCCTTTTGTGAACACTGATTTGTATTTTGAAATTCTAACACTTTCTCCGACAGCAAACTTTGGTTCTGACGGCTTGCCTAAATTGTGACTAAAAAGTGTCTTCCATACTTCAGTCCAGTTGGACTCATTTACACTGTCTGGTGTTGTTTTAATTGATCTGTTCACTGAACTGTTGTAATTATCAGTTAAGTCTTGAAGGACGTCTAACCATTTATATGTACTGGCACTGTAAAAGTACTTCCACATTAGTGCTTTCAGTGTTCTGTTAAATCTTTCCACAACTGCGGCCTTTTTGTCTGAGTAAGTAGAGAAAAACTCAATGTTATGTTTATTGAGCAATGACTTTACATCTTTGTTGTAGAACTCTGTGCCTTGATCAAACTGGGCGAATTTTGGGTATTTACCAAAACGATTATTAAATTGCTCTAAAATGTTACTGACTGCGTCCTTCATTGATGTCGCGTTTTTCCTATACACTGGTACTGTGAATGCGTACCTACTCAGTATTTCAATGGATGTGAGAATCCATCGGTATCCCTTGTTCTTATCGTCATATTTTGTCATGTCAACTAAATCCATTTGTAACTGTTCACCTAAAGTTTGAACGTACGTCTGTCTGAACTTATGTTTCCTGAACACTTGTCTGTACCTAGTGTATGTGTCCTGCTCGTTTATCCATTTCTTGACCTGGTTTCTGGTTACTTTAAGTCCTTCCGATATTGCTCTCAGATATAGTTTCTCTGGTGTTTGGAATCCAGTCTTAGGATTGTAGTAAATATCTCGTAGTCCCTGTTCTTTCATAATATCATCGTCCATTTTATATTAACCAATGTAAGCTAGTGCTCAAGGTACATCTCAAGTAGCACTTCACCTATATCAATAGGTTTCCCGTCTTGATCTGTCATGTAGAATACAAGTTCTGAGAAAGAACCCTTGACTACAGGAATTCTGCTTTCTACATCGATGTAGCTAACAACTGAGCCCAATAACGGTCTGTCAGTTGGAATTGTAACGCTTGTTATTACATCACTATGTCTTCCCCAGGTGTTAACATTAAAGCTGTTATTAGCTAGATTGCAGTGTATATTTACACATCGTAGACCATTATTAAAGTCAACTTTGCTATCACTAGTTAGACTCCTTCCTTTTAGTAAGATCATTGGATTACTAAATCTATTAAAGCCAAGCATTGTTAAAAACCTGGTTTCTATTGTAACGTCTTGCTTTACAGCTTCAACCTGACATCCTGCTGTTTCAGGAAAATATGTTAGTTTAACACCGTGTCTCTCAAGTAATTTTCTCATACTGTCAAATGTGTAGTAACCCTTGTTGACAATGACATCGGATTCCCCGTCAGCTGTTTTTACCTTGAGAATAGTTGTTGGTCCTGTTATATTGAAGTATTCCCAGAACACTGAAACTCTCTTCACAAAGACTGAATTATAATTGCTAGTTAAAACTGAATTCTGTAGTGAAACGTTTGTATGCGAACCTTGAAGTAAAACTGTAAACTTCATCTTAATAACATACGTTAGGTTATTAAGAATGATACCAGGTGGAGGAGACGTTGGGAAGTCGCCTTATAGGTCTTACCAAGATTATGAAAAAAAGTATGGAAAAGAAGATGAAAATGATGTTGATCCTATTGCTGGTAAAAAAGCTGAGAATGCTGAGAGGGCTAGGTTTGTTAGAAGGTATCCTAAGGCTGATATGAATAGGTTCAGGTTTGAAGCTATGACTACAAGTAGTGGTGACATTGGAGTTGTAACATGGTTTGTGGACTTAGATGGCATAACTTCATATGACATTAGGTATGGCAGCTTTCTGAATAATAAGGAGTTCACATCTTATCTTACTGGTACTAAGGAAATTATTATTCCTGCCCAGTTTATTCCAATGACTGATATGAAACAGCCCCCGTTAGAAGTACCAGGTGAAGTTGATGGGTGGCCAGCAATGTGGGCCTCCGGAAAGGGAACTGGATACGGGGTAAATTCTGATGACACGGTTGATGGTCACAGTTACTTTCCTAAAATAAGATGGTCTAAGGATGTTAACAATTTTAAGTTGTATGTTGACGCTACAAGCTTCTTTACTACAACAGGTGGTGCAGGTGGATTTCTACTTCCAAGTATATCAAGTCTTATTACCACTAAGGGTGTTGATGTAAAGTTTGATTATAACAAGCCGTATTTTGCTGCACTATGCGGGGCATTTATTGCTACACATCTTAGTGGAATCACAACTAGTCATATGACTCCTAGTAATGATGTTTATCCTGTTATTACTAGTGTTATGGACTTTCATGTTTACTATACTATCAGGAAATTTGTGTACAACCCTGAGAGGCTGAAACCATATTTAAGTAGGTTGGGTCCCGTAAAGAGTCACATTCCCAGTTGTTGGTAAGTGGGAAAATAAAACTGATACTTATAGAGTCACCTATGATAACGGACTTGAGTATGAAAAAGCAAGCTGGCTTAGGAAGAGAGGTAGTGATAGCAATCCGGTTAGGAACGTTGTTGCGTCCCCTATAAACTCAGTCAATGGATTTCTAATTAAGATAAAAATTAGGTATGAAGAAAGGGTTTCAGTAAGTCTGGTAGGTAAGTCTGACTATAGAAGGTTTATTGCTGTTAACAACCTGGATGTTCCGAAGAATATTACTGAAACTGGGCTACTATTACTAAATGAGTCAGTGCAGGCGTTCTCGTATTCCGTACTAGGTGCACAAGCATCGACAAGAACTCCAATTGTAGGTGAGATGGGAAAGTCATTTTCTACCCAGGTGAAGTTCGGTAATATTGTTCACGATTGTGTTGTACAAGCGGATCCCGTTGTAACTCTATCTAATATGAGAACGGCTATCAGGGACACAAATGTTATACTTAATACAGCCATTACACCTGGAATAGTTCTGGTTCCATCCAGTCTAATCATTCTAAAGAATCCCGTTCCTGGATATAATAATATTCTTGTAAATGCTTCTTATAATATGAAGCGTGGAGTTAACACTAAGGTAAACTATGTTGGAGTTAAAAAGCCTGATCCTCCAAAGAAACAGCATCAAGACACTACACCAGTTCACCACCTTGATACTATTCACGGAACTAAAAAAGTTCCAGGAGGTTCTACGGGTACTGAGACTCAAGTTGTTCCTATCACGGGGCATAGTGTGGTTAGTACTAATGAGTCTTCAGGAGTCAGTGCTATTGCTGGAGCTGGAATTGGTGCTATAGTCGTATTCATTTTAATGAAAGTTGTCCTGTAAACATTATGTATTCTATAAAATGGCTCTCTATAGAGGATACAATAAAGGAGTAAATAAAGTTGACCCATCAAGTGGTAGTGTGTTTGATAAGGATGGATTTACCATGAAGGGTGACATTGAGATGGATGGTAATAAGGTGAAAGGTCTGGGTGCACCTACAGATGATACCTCTGCGACCACAAAAAAGTGGGTGGATGATGAGATCATTAAACGGGCTGCTCTTACAATTCAACCAGCAGGGTTTACAATGACTGGGGATATTAACATGGGAGGTAATAAGATAATTAATCTTGATAATCCTACTAACCCAGGTGATGCTGCTAGTAAGAGTTGGGTTGAAGGTAGTCGTAGGCATATACATGTAAGCCTACCTGGACTTATCCTTACAAATGATCTCAATATGTCAACCAATGAAATAAAGGCTTTGGGTGATCCTACAACTGGAAAGTCTGCTGTTAGTAAGGACTGGGTAGTTAGAATGCTAAATAGACCTGTCACTGGACTTAATATTGCTGGGGATATCGATATGAAGGACCATGAGATTAAAAACTTAGCTGACCCCACTGAGGACCAGTCTGCTGTCACAAAAAAGTGGGCGGTTGATAATAACTTTGTTAAGAAAGGTGGAATAATGCAAGCAGATGTGTCCATGGGAGGTTGGAGACTATTTGACCTTACTGAGCCTAAAATTAGTAGTGAAGCTGTATCTAAAGGTTGGGTTGAGAGTAAGCTGTCTACAATCCCCAGTACCTCAGGTTTTACAATGTCAGGTGATCTTCAAATGGGTGGACATGAAATTAAGAATGTTGGTAATCCCACTACTGACCAATCTGTTGTTACAAAAAGATGGTTTGACTTAAACAGGGGAACATTTCTAAGGCTAAGCGACTCTTTCCTAACACAGAGTGTAACTGGTCCTATTAGCTTCTCTAAGGCCCCTAAAAGTTTCTCAGATGGGTTAGATTCAGCCAGTCTTGTAAGATTTAGCCAGCTAGTTACCTATCTTAAACTAAACGGTCTAAGTGAAATGACTGGTAATCTTAAGATGGGTGGAAATGAAATTGAAAATATTAGTAATCCTAGTGTTGATACATCTGCTGTTTCCATGGGGTGGGTAAAAAATAATGTTGTCACGCGTGTGGGTGGTTCTAAAAACAATATGACCGGCACCTTGTGGATGAAAGGTAACAGAATACGTGAACTTGGAAATCCTGAGTATCTCACAGACGCTGTAAATAGAGGGTGGGTTGAAAATAAGATCTCTGGAGGTAGACGTAAACGTGAGACCTATAGTGGTATTACACTATCTGATGACCTTGACATGAATAACAACGAAATAATAAAGTTAGGTGCTCCTACTACTGATAATTCTGCTGTGTCTAAGAAATGGGTCACGGATCATGTCAGCGTGAGTTCTACGAGTAGTAGTGGACTTACTATGAGCGGTAATATTGACATGGGTGGTAATAGTATTACGGGGCTAAATAGTGGCTCGGTTGGGGATTCTAGTGCAGTTTCTTATGGAACTATGAGCAATTGGTGTAAACAGTTCCTGAAACGTGATGGTGGTGTTTTAGCAAGCAATCTAGATGTTAACGATTACGAGTTAACAAAAGTTGGTGACCCTACAACTGACGGGTCGGCTGTTAATAAAAGGTGGGCAACTGATGAGTTCATGAGTAGTAGAGGTGGACTGGTAAAGGGTGATTTGGATATGGGAGATTCAAGTGGTATTCTAGATCTAAAGGATCCGGTAAACGATAAGGATGCTGTTAACAAACAATGGGTAGAAAGGAATTTCCTTAAACCTTCCACTGGACTTGTACAAGCAGTGGCCGATAAGAGATACGTAAGAATAAACCGTCATATTCACGCTGAGTGGATCTGGGGTTATCGTGGTGTTTCAGTTGCAGCAACAAGGTACTATGCTTACTGTCACGATCAGATTCCACCTTCATGGAGAACAGATCCTATTAATAATATGGCAGACCTCAACCTTGAGTCGATTACTATTAAATCAGACTTTCCAACCTTTTCGACCATTCTAAATATACCACTAGCTCTAATTCTATGGGCTACTGTATGGGAAAAACAATCTAATGGAAAATTTACCCAGGTCAAGAAGGAAATCGCTCTGAGAACAATAGACTTAAGAAGACTGTCACACACCTGGTTTAACGGA